ATTCTGGACAGAGCTTTATTCTGGCTTAGAATTATTACACCAATTGTAGCACTTCAATATTCTTATTTGTCTGCATACATACAAGTACATGTATATACTTTAAAGGGATATTGAAACCTACCCCCTCACAATTGGCTTGGACACAGAAATAGCATATAAACCTTCTAAATGACTCTGAGGGTACATGGATAACCATACCATATGTATCGGGTATTACAAAACATTTCTTTTTGCAAGGTTATCGCATGCGAATCAACAACAGCACTGAAGCAGCAAACACAGGACGACTGCATGTGGATTACGCACAAGCTAGAGACGATCAGTAAGTTTGGTGATTTCATTATAATAAAGAGAGTGATTCACACACACATACTCATGAATACTCACACACACGCACAAGCATAGGACACAACAACACATACATGCACACACAACACACAACACCATATACATTACATAATACATACACATACTCATGCACATACATATACATACACATACACATACACATACACATACACATACACATACACATACACATACACATACACACACACACACACACACACACACACACACACACACACACACACACACACACACACACACACACACACACACACACACACACACACACACACACACACACACACACACACACAACACACACACACACACACACACACACACACACACACACACACACACACACACACACACACACACACACACACACACACACACACACACACACACACACACACACACACACTCACACACTCAACTGGTTATTGTTGTTATCATTTGGTTTTGTTATTCCTATCTTTTTTCTTTCTTTTTTCTACATATATTTTTTTATTAATTTTTTAATGATACCTTTACCCACGCAGGTATGAATGGGAATGTCGACAGAGGCAGCTACAGAGAGAGCAGCGACATCGAGAAAGAATTGAAGCAGAGAGATTGCGGCCTCCGTCTCCACCTCCTGTGGTACATTATTCTGACCATGAAGCGACAATCATTGCAGAGCAGCTCAAGGGTCAGTTGTGCAAGTTGCTCTTTGTCAGATGTTGTACTTTAAATAATTGCTACTGATGAAGGGTTGCCATAAGTTTGATCACGTATGGAAAATTGTTAAAGAAATAGGGGGAAAATATGTAGTATTTTTTTTTATTATTATTCTTGCTTTCTTTACTACATCGCTTACTTTATAGGAAGCTTTGTTTCTAAGGGGTATTCCGAATTGCAGATAACCTATTTTTTTCTTATTTATGCTATTTTGCTGAATTTTCACCCCTTTCATTTATACTTGAAATTTAGTTGACCGACGGCCTCATGATATTGTGGGTGATTTCTCTAAATAAGTGGATTTCTGTATACATTCACTTACAATCACTCTGTAATCTGTGCTTTCCTCTTGTGAAGTTTACTTGTATTTTTGTCTTTGCTTGTTTAAGCAAAATCTGAGAGAGATGATCCTCTTAAGCTAAATGAATCACTGCTCATAGACACAGGAAGGAGAGAATGAGTATATATCAGCGTGTGTCTTTGTCTATGACATTTGTCTGGCAGATGACATAGGCGGCGATTGTGTGAAACTGGGTTGAAGTGCTGATATTGAACCAACTGCAAAATTTGGTTAACAAATGCAATGTAGTTGGCGAAGGGTGCAAAATGTGAACACTAAATGCAATGCTTTATTGTAGTAATGATAGTAATGAAAATAAGTGAAAATGAATAGATATATATTTTTTAATCATGATATTGAATATCTGAAGAGAAGACTACATTCCAGGCATGTGTGTGACTTATATCTTGGTGATTTCTCTTTGAATTAGTTTATTAGGCTTCTTGATACTGTATTTCGTGAAGATTTCTAAATATATACTTTTTTTTTCCAGGTGATGACACATTTTCCAAAGCAGTACAGATTGTTATCACCTGGCTAGAGAGAGGAGACTGTAGCAAGCGAAATGCTGGAACTTTCTACAGTATGATCCAGTCAACAAACTCCCATGTGCGAAGACTGATGACTGAGAAGAGCCAGTATGAAGAGGAATTGGCCAAATTTCGTGAACAAACACGGGCACGCATGCAAGGTGTAATCATGCAATGTGAGTACCCTTCTAGATACATGTAGATTATTCCATAGGCTGCTCGACTTAATGTGGGAAGTATGGTAGTTCGTAACATTTAAAGAATCTATGCACTTCAAAGTTTGTCAGATAGATACCATTCCATAAATACTTAGTACTATTCCTGTCAAGTTTCTATTGAAGAGAATGATATAATGAAAATATATTTTGTAGATGTACACACAGACAGAGGCAATGAATAGGAAAAAAATAAAAGAATAAAAGGAGGGATATGATGTAATGAAATCAAGTAACTGTAGTTATCCTTTTATACTGAAACTCCTGTCCTCCCTCCACCTACCCGCAGCTCTTTTCTCTATAAGAGAACCAACCCTCCAGGTATAAATCACAGTAAAAAGAGCTAAATACACTTTCATGCTCACAAATCATAGGAATATCTATTAAAGTTAAAACATGAAGCAGTGGACCAAATTATCATGATACGGTGAATGCTTTGCAGCACCAAGTCAGAGAGCAACAGGTATAGTAAGAACAGGTCAAGAAGAGGCTTTACCATGGGATGCAACATGGCTCTTGACTTTCTTAAATTGTCTTTTGATAAGAGTGGCCAAGATTAAGAGCAATGAGTCACCAGTTATGTCTGCTTGCAAGAACAGCTCTGAGACCTAACAAAGCTTGAGAGTTTGATGGTGAGTTGGTGTTTTTACTGGGCTATAGTGGTGGCAGGTGGAATGGTAGACTTCACTGACACCATCATTTTTTTATCATCATTATATTTTTTTTTTACTTGTACAGTACTATTGCCAATAATTTTAAGTGAGCTTTTTCCAGCTTTCGTGTAAGGAGCTGATCTTCAAGTGAGTATTGTAGCATTATAATGATATACTTTCAGATATGCTTGAAAGATATTGATATTTATGTTATTAGAGATTGGATTTGATATAGATTTGCAATTTAAATAGCTTTATTCCTTTCTATATATGCATCAAGAAGGCAACCTTGTTTCCATTTAAGTGGATATCTTTTTAATGAATAACTTCATAATTCTTTAAATAATCTGGTCATATGATCTAATAAATATAAATAAGTGTGTTGCATTTAATATCACTTTGAATAATAAAAGAAAGAAAGAAAAAAAATGTCAGTGAAAGCACTTTTTAGGTTGCAGAGAAAATAGATGGTAAAGCTAATATGACTTAAAATTTATGTATTATTAATGGTAATCCCATTTATTTTAGATAATGTTGCTGCTAGTTATTTTCTTAACCATTTTAACCAACAGCTTTACGTAAATGTAACAACAAAAATAACTTTATTGCTGTCTATTCCAAGATATTTTAGATG